ACTTACAGTTTGCTTGTGATGAAGAAATGTTAACAGTGCATGCTAGTGCCCAATCATTAAAGAATACTTGTTACTATCCATTCTGTTTTCCTCCAGTGTATTTGGAAAACAGAACAAAATAAGCCACTATATTCTGTAGTTCTGCCTTGCTAATAAAGTTGCATATACTAGCACAGGTCTAGAGCACTTCCATGAAGTGAGCAGCATTCTCCCTTTCAGAAGGAAGCATTTTTTCTCTTTCCAAGAGATAGGTGAAAATTCACTGCTTTCAATAGTTATCTTTCCTTCACAACTACGTAGGTCTTGACTGCTCAGCTCTGGCCTCCCAAAACACTTTGCTATGGTTCTTCCTGTTCTGTTGTTTCAGCAGTTGATACTGGAGTTGCATTTGTGAGCAGTGCCAATTTGTTACTTTTGTCTGATTGAAAAATCAGTAAGGTTACTTGTTATTTTGATGAAAGCACAGGTTAAAAGTCCCAAGACTATTCTGATTTTCAAGGTGTAATATGGAATATTTTTTTTTCCATGGAAAATCAGAGGCATAAAATGTAATGAGACTTCCAAGTAGTGCTCTAGTTTCAAGAACCCACATTCATACAAGATTCTGAACATACAGACGTCTTCTGCTGAAATAACTATATAACTATATAATAATAATGTGCTGTGACACATTAAATTGAAATGCAGATTTTAAGGATAGTGCTCATAGTAGCACTACTAACCTCTAGAGCTTCTCGAAGCTGTTGCTTTAGTTCTTCATTTGACACTTCACTACTGGATTCTGCAAGATTTAGAGGAGACAGTAAAAACACGAGAACTTACTTTAACCTGAAAACAGGGAACATGCAGGGATAGATTTCATCCTTAAGGTTTTGTTTTTTTTTTTTTTTCCTAACTTCTGGAGCTAATAAGCAAACCTAAGAAGTACACAAACACTAAACAGAAACATTATTTCAGAGTTAAAGAAGCAAAATCAGAAAAAAGACAGTCATGAAAGGCAATTTTAAGTTTTAAATTTCCATTTAAAAATATTTTTTTTTAAAAAAGAACACCTTGACTCAAAAAATAATTTCACTTTTTAGATTCATTTTAAATTGCAACTTTTCATCAATTCTACCCAACGCAATCCAGCAAGTTTCAACATTTGCATAAACAAGAAGTTCCTGTTGGCATCATTTTTTCTTCAGTTAAGTATTAGAGAAATATATTAACGTGCAGCCTCCTGCTAAATCAGCTGGGTTCATGTGGAACTCAGTCATGTTTGCTGTGCGAATGACCTACAGCCAAGACAGCATCACAGAGAGCAGCGGTGGACAGTGAAACCAACCAGCATTACACTGCAGTTGCAGCATCCTCTCACTGACACTGTTGAAACCAAGAAAGAATAATTACATGGCTTAGCATATATTAAGGATAGTTCAGACTTATTGTAAAGGAGAGAAACAAGCAGTTACATGGAAATACTTGAGATAAAGTACAAATAACAGCTAAAAATATAAGGTAAAAAAGCTAAAATATGAAGAACATTCCTGCCTGTATTTGATTTTATTCACAGTAGTGTTGTCTTCAGGTAAAACCACAATGCCAACACGGATTAACAGAGATGTGTAGATTCTAAAACTAACTTCTTACCCTTAAACAACGCTAGATTAAAAATTCCAGCTAAACAGCAAGCAGGAGTTTGAATATTTAGCCCTAAACCTCAGAAGCGGACTCTGGGAACACACATTTAAAGGAGGAGCCCCAACAATTCAATGCAATGCACTCATTTAGAGAACAATTATATTGTCCTCCACCACAGGACTTCTCTTTCAAGGTCAGTACCAAATATTAACAAGGACCAAGAAGGGCCATGGCCTGACTGGCTGCAAGGCAATTTTTCTGTTAGTATTTGCAGAGGAAGACCCAGATGCAGCCACTATGTGGCTGCCTCCAACGGGCAGAGCACTTCTTGCACTTGTGGCAATGCCAGCTGCACTGACAGAAGACCTGAAGACTTTGCCTGCAATCCCAAGAAGCACTGGACTCCAAGAAGCATGTGAGGCACATGCACATGGAATTCTTTGCAGCTTCTCAGGGTTTTGGCAAACAGTTGAATCTGATTTTGGTGATGCCTTCAGGAGTAGCCCTCAATGCTCAGTCTTGCCAGGAATTTTTCGCTTGATGAACACTGAACTCCAAATTAGCCTTACCACAGCTACTTAGTCGAGACAAACTAGAAAGAGGCTTCTTGGATGATCCATCATGAAAACTGTTTCTTTTGGAACGGGGAAGAGGGGAAGCATCATTTTCTTCCACTCCCTTTATTGATGAGAGAGAGTTGTAAGCCTTCACAGACACCTTCTTAGATCTGAGTGAATAGTTTTGTAATTTTTCCCCTTCATAAACACCTCCAGGTCTTCTCCCAAGTCCGTTCCCCAAGTCTCCACATGCCATGTCATCCTCTTCTGCTTCCTCCATCTTACCCTCCACCTGTTTTTTGTTTTTTTCTTTTTCAGTGGAGCGCACGTCACTTTCTGGCCATGTGAACACCTCCCCTAACAAAACACCAGGTTTTTTCCACCTAGAAAAAACAAACAGAGCTCCTTACTTAAAGCGGCAAAGCAACATTCAGCGAAAAACCTGCAGTTCTCCGCGTGAGCCCGCTCTCAGCTACCTGTCCAGCTTCCAGGTGCTGTCTGCAATCGAGGCAGTCAGACCCCTCCTCCAGCGGGAAGCCGGCGGCCGCCCTCACCGCTCCCTCGCCACCCTTCCTCCTCCGAGGCTCGGCGACCGGATCGGGGCACGGCAGGCACGGCAGGCACGGCCTCCCCTCAGCTCCGGGGCGGGCTCGCCGCCTGCACCGCCCCGGAGGCGCTGCGGGACCGAGGGCGGTTTCATTAGCCGCTTAGTTTTGCTTCCAGTGTCAGTTCCGTCTCTCCCGTGCTGCTTTGGAGGCTGTTCCACAGCCTTATAGCTTGGCCGTTTAGATTTTTTTTTTCCAAGTTTGCAACCATAACAAACTACTGAGAAGTTGATTTTAATTTATCAGGTAAGAATTACAAATGTGATTTATTGAACCATTCCAGGGAGAGATGCAGCAGTTGCTGCTGTTACTAAAGCAGCAGGCAGCTAAGCATTACAAAGCTGTTCACTTACTCCACCCACTGTGGGATGGAGGAATAGTGCTGGGGAATAAAAAAAAAGGTAGCGCCTGTGGGGGACTGAGCTATAGTTTAATAATAATAATGATTTAAAAAACCCACAATATACAGAACATGTGACACACAGTGCAATTCCTCACCAGCCACTGACATCCAGAGAATTCCCAACCAGCAGCAACCCCTCAGCCAACTCTCCCCAGTGTTGTTGTTCTCCATGTCACTACATGGTATGGGACAACCATCCCAGTTTGGATCAGATCCCAGTTTCTTGTGAACCTCAGCATTCTGTAGTGGCCTCAGTGCTGGGGGAGATCAGGGAACAGACCCTCCTGGAAGCTACACTGAAGCACATGTAGGAGGTAATCTGAGACAGCCAGCATGGCTTCACCAAGGGCGGATCCTGCCTGACCAGTCTGGTGGCCTTCTATGGTAGCCTGACAGAATCAGTGGACAAAGGAAAAGCAACTGGACTTGTGCAGGGCTTTTGTCATGATCACACAACACTTTCTTATCTTCAAACTGGAGACAGGAATGTGAAGGGTGGATTATTGGGTGATAAATAATTGGTTGGATAGTCAGAGCCACAGGGTTGTATGAACAGCTCTATGTCTAGATGAAGGCCTGTGACAAGTGGTGTCCCTTGGGGGTCCATCTTGGGACTGGTATTTCCAGCATCTTTATCAATGACATTGACAGTAGGATTGAGCATACCCTCAGTAAGTTTGATGATTTCACTAAAGTGACTGGTGCAGTAGACACAATGTAAGGGATGGAAAGGAGGGACACCATCCAGAAGGATCAGAAATGAGCCCACATGAATCAACAGGGTTAAGCACAAGGAATTGCATTTGTATCACAGTGATCCCAGACAGAGGTAAAGACTGGAAGAAGAACTTACTGTAAGCAGCCCTGCAGAGGAGGATTTTGGGGTCCTGGTGGATAAAAAGATGGACATGAGCCAGCAGCGTACCTTTGAGGCCCGGAAGGTCAACTCTATCCTGGGCTGCATCAACAGATAAGCGGCAGCCGGGAAAAGGAAGGGATTGTCCCTCTCTGCTCTGCTTTTGTGAGGCCCCATCTAGAGCACTGTGTCCAAGCCTGGGGCCACAGCACAGAAAGAATTGTTGTGGAGCTGTTGGAGTGGGTCCAGAACAGGACCACACGATCAGAAGTGCTGGAGCATCTCTCTCATGAGAAAATTTTGAGAAAATAGGGAGTGTTTAGCACGAAGGCTCCAGGAGGGGGATTGGTTTTTACATGGTTTAATAGTAATAGGACAAAGGAATGGCTTTAAACTGAAAGAGGAAAAATTTAGGTTACATGATAGGAACCAATTCTTCACCCAGAAGGTGGTAAAGCCCTGGCAGAGGCTGCTCAGAGTTGTGGATCCTCCATCCCTGGAGGTGTTCAAGATCAGGAAGGATAGGGCCCTGAGCAGCCTGATCTGCTGAGTGGCAACCCTGCCCATGGTAGGCTGGCGCATAGCTGAGAGGTAGCCTTCAGACCTTCCAAAATGAGGGAATCCTGCTAACTATGCCAGCAAAGTTGTAAGCTGGAAGATACCTGATACTGTGGGTGGGAAGTTTTGGGAAGCAATCTCTCAACTATATGCCATGAAGGCTATACACTGGGAGAGGTACGAGCAGTGGCAAGCCATGGTTGCCCAGGAAACACTGGTGTTTGTCTTCTCCCATTACTGGAAATCTGAAAAGGTATAGTGTTTGCCCTTCCCCACTGGGAATGGTTTGGGCTCAGAACAACTGGCACAATCCCAAAGCTATAGCAGAAGGAATCACAACACTTGCAAAAAAATCAAAAGTTGTGGCCAGAGAAAGAAAAGCCACAATGCATACTTTGTTGGGAGGAGCACTGGTGACAGCCCAGAGATAGGTTTTATTAGATATACTAGTGATGAAATGGTTAAATCCTTGCAGGAATAAATGAAAAGCATACAGATCCTGTTAGCTGCTGAATGTTAGTAGCTTAGTGAGTAGCTACTAGTTAATAACTTCATGTGGCACTGGAAGATGAATTAGATCAGGAAGAAGTTTTGCAGACTAAATTAGAAGAAAAAGAACAAGAGATAGATCGTGACTTAATCTCAGAAAGCAAGCCAGAATTTTTGAGTCTGGCTAAATCGGCTGATAAACAGAAGCTAGGTCTGGAACCCTGTACCAGATTACAGAGTTAGAAATGAGTCAGGAAGTATTTTATCCTGAGAATCCTGAAGTGCTGATGAGAATGCTGATCAAAAGAGAGACCACTGGTGATGGCTGAGATGGAGGGACCCAACAGGTAGCTGTTTACTGAACAGCACTGTACTAGGTAAGCCCCTTCCAAACCAAGCCATTTTGTTATTTGCAATCCATGGTGGCAGAGCAGCATGGGAAGCTGAAAAGAAGAAAATTAAGTCTATCCCAATCAAAACTAGAACAGTTGCTTTTTCTCCAGTTGTCAATTGTTGTCCTTTGTCCATTGCTCAACCCATTGCACGATCTGATCCAAATTTCTCTCTAGGTCTTCAGGAGTGTTGCTGGGTAATTGGTGCACAATTTCCTTTCTGTATGACAACACAGCTTCCTCATAAAGTGTCTGAAAAATTTCACACTGAATATTGTCTTGTAGCTTTTTCCCTTTGTAGCCCCTAAAAAAATAAGAACAATACTGAGAGCCAGCCTCACATATACAAAACTATAACACTTTTTATACAAAGTCAGTATCTTACTGCTTAGAAAAAAATTCTGATGAAGATTACACAATAGCAATTTACTTAATTACTCTCCTCACATACCTGCTTTCAAGCCTGTCATATAGAATTGAGTTGTCTGCACGAAGTACAAACACTATATGAAACCAGTGTTCAGGGAAAAAATCACAGCCGTGGTAATCAACAATAACTCCACCCTCGCACATTTTGCCTTCTAGTTCATCAATTACCTACAAAAAAAAATAATAACAAACAAACAGAGAGTGGTACATCTACATGAAATCACAAATGGTTGAAACAATGCAAAGATACTACTTTTTGAAGCTGAACTTACTCTGTCTTCATCCAAAATTGGGCATTCATACTCCTCGTCGAAACCTTCATACAGTTCTTCTGTAACAAAAATGATTTGTGCATGTTTGTGAGATAACAGGAGTTATTAAAAATACTCACAGTCATGTTTGCTTTGGCTAGATGTCAGCAAAAGGTAGCATGGAGCCCTTCATTTATAAATGTATATTTATTAATTAATGCTATACAAGTTATTGTTGCAGAGGGTCTCTTTAACAAATCCACCCAACATATTTCAATTCAGGGAACTCTGTCACATTTTGGTTTGCTCTATAACACATGCATTGGAAGCAAGGAATGACACAGTCACAGAATCCTAGCACTGTCCTGTAACACCACCCACCTTCTTTTGCCAGGTCACCCACGCTGATGTAGGTCAGCCCTGTCCTTGATGCAAGCTCTTTGCCGAGGGTGCTTTTGCCAACACCGGGAGTACCTAAAGACAAATGCAGAGCAGTCAAAGACAGGCAGACAGCTGTTCAGGCAACCTTCTACCAGGAGTAGAGCCAAGGGGGAAGCTTTCCCCAGCGAATACCAGCGAGTTTGTACAAGAAAAGGGGCAAAAAGGTACATGAGAAGAAAAAAAAGACGTCCAGCACGCCTGGGGCACTTAAACTAAACAAGACCAAAACCAACCACAGTAAACAAAGACGACTCTCATTTCGTGCACAGGTGTGATTCTGAATGGGATGGGAGAAAAGACAAACGCACTCTCCTGCTCTGACAGTGGTCTGCCACCTCACAGGGCCGAATGGCGCACAAAGCCCACGTCGCCCTGCCATTTCCTCTCTCCCTACCGCCACGCGGCCCGAACGGCTCCACGTTGCGGGTGAACACGGAAATGCGGCCCGGCGCGGCCCATCCCGGCCCGTGTTGGCGCAGCCCACCACTCACCGGTCAGCAAGATGTTGGGACGCCGCATGCTGCCGTCGCCTAGGAGACACGTGCGGGGTCCTGCGCTACCGCCGTCGCACGGCGATGACGTCACGCGCAGGCGCCTTAGCGCGCAGGCACGCTGCGGGCAGCTAAGCAGAGGCGGCGGGAAGGCCGCGTCGCGGCGGAAGGGGGCTTGGCACCGCGTCGCGCGGCGCTGCCCGGCGGCTCGGCCCGGGATGTCCGGGACTGCGGCGGGGCGACAGCTGGCGCCGGCGGAGGTGGGGCTCGAGGCGGTCAGTTTAAAACCGAGTGGAGGCAGTGTGAACTTAATCTTCGTGTGGGAGCGATGTTTTTAACCGGCAGTTTTAGAACAGCTTGTGTATGCTGTGCGCTGGTGGTGGTGTTAGTTATTTCTGCTCTAGCTTGTTCTGGTTTCCAGTTTGCTACAAAATGCTCTGCTGTGGAATCTAAAGTGTGATTTACTTTGTTAACTCTTAGAAAGTTTGCACTCGGATTAAAAAAACATTGTTACTAAAGGCCTTTACAGGGTATTCTCTGTGCGTGCCTGATAGGATTTTCAGATTGCACCCATGTGAAGAGGGAAGGTAATGCTGTAACAATAGCAATTCCTTGTATTTTACCAGGCGACAGATTGGTTGGCCTGTTCGTTTGATGATTTCTTTGGAAGTGCAGGTATTTCTTCCAGCGTGATTCCTGAAAAGTCGCACAAAGGCAACTCTGGGAGAAATCATCAGCGGAAGAAAGACCTGTCTGCTGTGCCGGGATGCAGCAAAAACAAAGTCCTGTCAAGAAAAAGAGCAAAGTTGTCCTCAGTAGATCTGCCTTGTAACAAGTCCAGAATAAACTGGAACCAGTCTCAAGATGAGCCATGGGTAGATAAATACAAACCTGAAACTCAGGTATGAGAGATTTGAAGTGCAAATTTACTAGTAACATTACATATGATGCTTTTCTTTGTAATCCTTTTTGATCAGGAGTTAAATATGTTCTGTTTTATGGGGGCACTGAAGTTCTGATTTGATTATATACTGTCTGTAATGAAGATTATAATGTGCTATATATCTGTAGGATGTATGTCTTCTAGCAGGCTTCTGGAGGATATAAAGCTACTGACATTTCCTGTCCATCAACACCTAAACTTCTGAATCTGTTATCAAATCTGATAGTTACGAATTCAAGGAAAATCCACAACTAGTGAAAAGAGAGAGAAATGAGTTAATGCAGTACTTGTATTTCATATTTAATTTTTTATTAGTCCAGCTATGGTGAGGAACTGAGTCACAAGACTAGAAATTTAGAAAGATCCACGTAGTATTAGAGTCAAGAATCAGTTCTAGCAATAGCTGCAAAGCATTTGTGTGTAATCACGCTGGAAGATCATGTTGTTACTTTAGGAATCAAAAATCATTCATTATTTCCATGCTGCAAGGAATGGGAAATTGGTTGTTTGAGGAAATAAGCTCTAATGATTGTCCTTCATTTACTTCTAAAGCATAGTGTATGTAACTGAAACATACACATACACAGCTGTTATTTTACTCAGCCTGTTTTCTGTTCTTGAATTTCATCGTTAAAGTTTTAGAAACTGTAATGCATACTTATAAATTCATTTCATACATTTTTCATCTTGTTTTAGAATGACCTTGCTGTCCAAAAGAAGAAAATTGAAGAAGTTGAAACATGGTTAAAAATACATATATTTCGGAGACAGCCAAAGCAGGTAATTTTGGTGAAATTAGCAGGTAGAGGTACAAAATTGTCTAACCAAAATGGATTGAATTCTAATTTAATTAAAAAACAAAACAAAACAAAAACAAAACCTGGAAAAAAAAGCAAGCAAACCACAAGCCAACCTACAAGCCCTACGCAAAGAGAAGTAGAGATGGATTCTGTTTTTGCTCAGCAGCATTATTTTCTGGCATCTAGTCAATTCATACCTTCAGCTTGGTGTGCTTTTATAACCGCATTTTATCTCCAGCAGTATGATTTTAAATAGTGAGGCAAACTTCTAGTCGTAGTGACTTGATGTAATAGGATGCTTTTAATTTCTGGATTGTTAAGCATTGTTATGCAAATGCATCATTTACTGGCTAGTATTCTTTTCACCTGATTCTTCTGTTCCGTTTATATTATGTTGGTACCCCATATAGCATGCAGTTAGCCATGCAGAAGCTGGGAGCAAGCCTTGCAGATTTCTGTTCTAGTTCTTTCTGAGTACTGAATAGGTAATTGAAAACTCAAACTATTTACCTCTTCTTATTTGTAAAAGAGAATCTTTGCTGTATGAAAGATAACGGTATTCATCATCAGTCTACATTTAATCTTTATTCAAAATGTTTGGAGTTATTTTCTTTCTCTGTCAGGGTGGCTGTGTTTTGCTGTTAACTGGTCCTGCTGGCTGTGGAAAGACAGCAACTATACAAATATTAGCAAAAGATCTTGGTGTGCAAGTGCAAGAATGGACCAATCCAGTATCTTTAGACTTCACAAAAGAAGACTTATTAAATATATCTGGCCATAGTAAGTATTTTATTTTGTTTTTTTGGATAATTTTGTGATTTGTTTTGTATGTAACAGAGATAAAAGCATAAAAAAAATACAGACTACAAAGTCAGACTGATGTCTATATAAGCCACCTCCTTGGAGTTCAGTAATAGTCTGAAAAGGGATTTACTTTTTACAGCGTTTACTCCAAAGCAGTTTGCAGTTTGTACAGAAAGCAGTGTAATGTTTTGGATGCCATCTGAACTAGTTAAATAAGAATGTATCTTTGAGTTTTCCATTGAATTCTTCCCTTTGAAAACTATCTTTTATTTGAAATGTGTTTGCCAAAAGGCTTTGCTGCTGGTCTTCAGTGCTGTTATCTGAAAGTAGCATGGATGGGTGTTAGTTCTTGTGGGTATTTGTATTCTACTTGCTGTAACATCGAATACACGTTTTTAATTAGTTTTCTTTTTCAGACTCAAATTCTCATGCGTTTTCAAGTCAGGCCCAGTCAGCTCTCTTTCAGGATTTTCTGTTAAGAGCAAATAAATATAACAAACTTCAGATGCTTGGGGAGTCCTCAGAAAATGATAAAAAGCTTATTCTTGTTGAAGTAAGTGAAAACTTTTATAATAATCTTGACATGCTAACTAGCTGCTGCTGGAGGATTAATGTTGGCACTTTATTGCCCATGAGTTCTTTGTTACTTTTAGGCTTCAACAGCTGGCTGAAAACAAGTTCTACCTGTGCTTAAACCGTATGATATAATTGCTGGGCAGAAACTGCACACTAATTAATATACAGAAATAAGTAATAGATAAGAAGTGACTGGAACAATACTGAAAAAAATCACACTGTGTTTTGCTTCATAGAAATATTTGTGTATATACAAAGGCATGTGTAAAAATTACACGTTAACTGAGGATACAGGAGAATATAGAAGTGCATGGGAATTAATAAAATCATAAGGCATTTGAAATTTGCCCTTCTCATAAGCCATAACGGGAGATTCAGGAGAAGGCTTTATTTTCACAAATTCAGGAATATATCACACTACTACATCCTTCTTGAACTTCTCATTGTTTTTTGACAGAAAGATTTTCTAAATTAATAAAGTAGCCTTTAGTAAAGTGAACTTTCAAGAAAAAAAATAGAAGAGAGAGAAGTTCCAGCTGAGCAACGTTGTCTACAGTATAACTTGGGAAATGTAGATTCCTGAAACCTCTGTTCATATAGTCACTTCCTTGTCTACCTCCTCTCATATCTGATACACTATGTCTTGCCTTCCTCAGTTTAGCTGTTACTCTGTGTATATCTGTGTGTTTTGAATAGAATTGTCTAGCAGGCAGTGTTCTCACCCAAGGCTGTTTCTTAGGAAACAAGATTAGAAAGAAAATGCTTCTCCTAGGTAATTGTTTTTCCTCAAAAAAAGAAAGTTATGCTTCTCCTACCCCCCTCACCCTACCTACTTCCCAGTTATCTTCAGCTTCAGCCACAGTTGAAGCCAAGCTAACTAGCAAGAAAAACCATGTAGCAATATAGCACGCCTTAAGTTAGTCTGTGGGAGAGAATATTTACACCTGAATGTAATGACAGCAGTTAATTTGTTTTGAATAGGACATGCCAAACCAATTCTATCGAGACCCTAGCAGTCTACATGAAATTCTCAGGTTAGTTATAAATAAGTTTTTAATGGTTAGCCTTAGCCACTCTGCACTATAGTGGAGTTTGAATCCTCTTACGCGTTTTTATTTTTCACTTTAGGAGATTTGTACGTACAAGTAGATGTCCTCTTATATTTATAATATCAGATAACTTCAGTGGAGACAGCAACCAGAGGTTACTATTCCCCAAAGAAATTCTAGAGGAGTTGTGTATATCAGTTATTAGGTAAGATCTTCTGTCTCATTAAAAATTTATTAAAAATAAATGAGAATTCAGAAACTAATTCATTTTTTAATGGAATTTAACAGTTTCAAGCCCGTTGCACCAACAAACATGATGAGAGTTCTTAATCGAATAGCTACAGCAGAAGCTAACATGGTAAGTTGTCAAAGCTGTGAACTTCTGCAGAGTTCTGGGACCAAAAGATTTCTGGCTTTTATATCTGAAATTTGTTATTCCTACTTGTTTTTGCTATTTGCTTGATCTTTGATCAAGTAACAGGCGTTTGCCCCCAGGAGGGGGGAACGGGCGGGAGGTAGGAGCAGGAAAGGCTATAGCAAAATACAAGGAAGAAAAGGGAAAGCCATCTTGTTTTTAAGATGAGATCCCCTTGATCCTTTGTCTGAAGTTGCCTCTGAGAATTCTGCCTTTTACAGAAACCGTATGTATAAAACAAGTAATAGGAATAGAAGTTACTTTTTTTATGGTATTCATTAAGACCTGAAGACCATTAACCCAACTCATGTACTCTCAAGCTTTTAGATTACAATCTAGTCTATTCCTGAGTGGCAGTTACAAAATAAATTTGTGTGTCGTTTTCTCTAGTCTTGAAATTTAAAATATGGTGATTTATTGAGCTGGAGATCTTACCTGGCCTGAACATATGCTGAGTTCAATATAATATAATAATATAATAT